TAAACTTATAAAACAGGGTTTTTGTGTTACTTTAATTATTTCTCAAAATAGTTTCCATGACAGCAGATTTACTTATTGCATGCTTTTTTTTGTTATTAAGCTGTTTCTTACAGCTGGTTTTTTGAAATAGCCTCATTAATAATTAGTAAATAGTTTTTACCTTTTTTGTTGTCACCATGGCTTTTATACTTTTATCGTTGTCATAATAAATTCCACAAAATATCCCTTTAAGTTACCATTGGATCAAATTTAGTCAATTTTTCAATCATACCACTATCTTCATAAAAAAATAATTTCATGAATAATAATTATTATTTCAAGATAATTGTGTTTAAATCATTTGTAAACATTACAATTAAACCCAAATTTGCTTCTGATTTTAGTAAATCATAAATTATCTTGTCTTGTATGTATGAATAAAGCTGCTGTCACACTTTCCTACACTGCTGCTAATGATGGAAAGATGAAAACATAAAATGTTTAGTTCATTTTTATAGCCCCAATAACAACATGTTTTCTGAAGGAACTTTACAGAGATAATTCAATCAAGTCAAACAAAGAGATTAAAAGTTTCCTATCTAAGGAAAGGAAACACCAAGCTCTGTTATCTTAAAGAAGCCAATTTAGAGATGAAAGCTCGGTGCTTTCCAGTCAATGCAGGCCTCAAAGAGGCAGATGTTTACTTGCTGGTTATTCAAGAAAAAAGTTGGAACTCTACTGTTGGAGCCACTTCAAGCATAGTGTGAGGAGTGGATTGTTAGATGCAGACAGAGCATCAGCATAATGTAGAATGGCATGAATTATTATGCAGCATTTGAGTAGCACCTAAACAGAGAATTACTGCTGCATTTATCATACCAAAGTTTTATCTTTTATGACAAAAGGCTAAAGTTTGATTTATCTGAAGACAGATTTCTTTTTTTCTTTTCTTTTTTAAGTAAATCTTTACATATGTGTATGATGTAGGACATGCAGCTATATGAGGGGATGTATTAAAAAAAAAAGCAGATTGAGTTTCTTTAACTTTTTTAACTTTATTGTTAGGTCAGGACATTCTGAGCTTCCTTAAATGTGAACTTTAATGAGACTGGAAGGTTTTAAGCGTGTTAAAAGAAGACAAGACGTCTCCCTCATGGAGAGGATAAATGGGATTTGGGCTCCATAACTGATAACTAGAAGACCTGCTTTTTGGTCTGTTTTTAGCAGCTGCAGCACACCTAAGTAAAGTCTGCTTATACTATTGCTCCTCAGTCTAGTTTTTATTATTCATTTAAGGGAATGTGGATGCACATTTTTTAGCTTCAGGAAAGTTAATTTTTCAGTATAAGTGTGCACTTGCAACTATAATATCTTATTAGTTATATATAGGAACATACCACTGCCTGTAAAGGATAAGGCATTTTAAACATCAATGACACGTGCATTATAACAGATTGCACAGTGAATATTTTGCCAATATATTCCTGTTTTTGTTGTGTGTGTGTTTTTTACTTTAATTTACAAGATGCCTGGGATTGTGAAATGGTGTGTGGTCTTCATAAAGGTTTCTCTTGCAGAAGCTGCAAATTACATATTTTACATGCAGCACATGTAAAATACCACGATTCTGACTTATGTTCTCCTCTCTGATATGCTGTTAGTTTCAACATGTGAAGGTTTACAGCGCATGTAGTAGTTTGCACACATTCCAAGGAGTCTGAATGTCCATTTCCTTCTGATTTCTAAATTTTTGGGGTGTAGCATAAGTCCCCTCATACATGACCTAAAGCAGATAAAGGTGCTACAGATTCTTTTTCCTTTAAAAAAGTTAAGAACGCACACTAGTAACAGCGTTAGGCAAAAACCTTGAGTATGGAGGATAAAAGTACAGAACGACACGGCTAAGAATGTTACCTCTAATGATTTGTATAAGATGTGCAAATTTCACTAGAAAAGTTGCTGTCTTTCTGTTTTTTTTTTTTTATTCAAACTCTGGTGCCAGTTTTACTGTTACACTAGTTTAAAGAAGTTTTTTTTTTAAACAATGTGACGGTATTCCGTATTTCTTTGATGCATTATAACAGATTGCACAGTGAATATTTTGCCAATATATTCCTGTTTTTGTTGTGTGTGTGTGTGTTTTTTACTTTAATTTACAAGATGCCTGGGATTGTGAAATGGTGTGTGGTCTTCATAAAGGTTTCTCTTGCAGAAGCTGCAAATTACATATTTTGAGGCTGTGAAGTATTCTGCAAATCTAGCTAAGAGCCCAACACAAGCAGAACCCTGTGAGTGTCTTTACAGACCTAAAATCACCTCAACAGAAAGCAATGTTAAAGTGATCCCTAATCCAAGAGTGGCCACTTAAGAGTGCTGGCGTTTGTCTAAAGGGGGACTAATGCACAGCTCACCCTTATAAGAAACTGAAGGAGTTGGCCAGACAACAGCACAGCTCTTGCAGGCCCTGCAGTATAACCAATATTTACCTGCTGCATTATCCAGGGTCTCCACCCATGCTGTAGGTTTTGTTTCTAAGGCACATTGAGAGAGAGGTGCAAGCATTCATGAAATCAGACGGCTTAGCTCTGGGCCTTTCTCACTCAACTATAAATACCACTTAAATGTGTTGGCTTTGCATTGCCAGATGACAGCTGCACAGCACAAGGAAACTACTACATGTCAGTTGTGTGTTGACTCTAAGTATATGCCTTCTTAATATAATTGCAGCCCCTGCTGACTTCCACTTAGTCTACTGCTAGGTTAATACCATAGTTATTACAATTAATGAAGCAAATACTTGGAGACAATGAGATGTGATGCTCTCAAGCATAGATCCAAGTCAACAGAAATGTCACAAAAATGTGTTGAAGTGACTCAAACATAAAGTAAGTGGAAACTGTTGCAGTAACTTGACACTAAGTGTATTAGAGTCCACACGATGAAGCCGATTCCTCTCACAATATAGATCCCCAGCTTTTATTTGTCCAAGTTCGCTCTTTTGTTTTGGCAACATTACTCTAAGGTGACGCCATGCGCCACGTCTCTGGACCCTCCTTTGTCCCCCAGCCAGGCTTTGCAAAGGCTGCATTTCTGGTGTGGACATTAGCTAGGCCACAGGATGAGCTTTCAGACCAGCACCTCTTTCCATTCTGGCTCCGTCAGCTGGTGGGATTTAGCTAAATACTCATTCAGCAAAAGTGAATGTGGTTCAGTCCGCCTATCAGGCCTTTACACTGAGGTGAAAGCAGCCATCATCCCTCAACCAATACAGAGATGCATCAGTTCGGGAAAGGAAATCCTGTTAAATTTGCGGACAACCCTAACTGCAAATATGCTTTTAAACTCCTTTAAGCTCAAGGATTTGTGTCTATCAGGATTAGTAACGAAATTTGACTTCAATTTTTGTGGAAATACCTGCTGTGCTGCAGGTTTGATGAGCATTTAAACAGCATTATTGTCTCTTTTGTGTAAAATGAATGGAGGATGACACCAATTCAGACATGGCATGGTTTCTTTTTCATAAACAGGTTAGAGGTAAAGCATCTATGCCCTGTCTAATTAGGGTCTCATGGGTTCTCACTGTATTATAGGGGTCTGATGAACTAAACTGAGACTAATATTTATGTCAAGACCTGGAAAAACTTTAATAATGAGGTACTTGGTGAGCTACATGAGTAACCTCATCTATTTTTTTTATCATTATTATTCATTATCATTTTCCTACTTTCACTCTTTTTTGGGGGGTGGGTCCTCAAAATAAGAACATTAACTGCTCTATAGACAAAAAGTAATGGAGGAAAAATATTAAGGACGGATGCTTTAAACTTCATACTGGGTACTGCACGGCTGCTCAGTGGCTGCCTTGCAGCAAGAAGGTTCCGGGTTCGGGCTGGGGTCTTTCTGCATGGAGTTTGCATGTTCTCCCTTAACATGCGTGGGTTCTCTCTGGGTACTCCGGCTTCCTCCCACAGTCCACATGACTGTTAGGTTAATTGGCTTCTCTAAAATTGTCCTTAGGTGTGTGTGAATGGTTGTTTATCCTGTTTGTCTCTGTGTTGCCCTGCGATGGACTGGTGACCTGTCCACAGTGTACCCTGCCTCTCGCCCGTGGACAGCTGGAGATAGGCACCAGCACCCCTCGTGACCCCACTTGGGATTAAGCGTGCCAGAAAATGGATGGATGGATGGAAACAAAACCATGAGCCTATTTTCAGCCTATTTTCTAAATGGAAGGAATATAAAGTAGATATAATTGCATGAAAAGGAGTTGAAGTAAACAGTTGTATAAAAAAATTACTCCAGTAAATGGCTGCTCAGTGGAACGGTGGGTTAGCACTGACGCTTGTAGCAAGAAGGTTCTGCGTTCAATTCCTGGCCTGGGGGTTTTTCTGCATTGAGTTAACATGTTCTCCCTGAGCCTACATGGGTTATCTCCGGGTACTCCAGTTTCCTCCCGCTGTCCAAAAACATGACTATTGGGTGTGAGTGTGAATGGTTGTTTGTCTCTGTGTTGCCCTGTGATGGACTGGCAACCTGTCCAGGGTGGACCCCGCCTCTCGCCCATGGACAGCTGGAGATAGGCACCAGGAATAAGTGTGATGGAAAATGCATGGGTGGATACTCAACTAAAATGTAGATAGCCAAAATTAATAATTAAGTAAGGTAACAAAGTATTTGTATTTGTACACCTCTGGGGGTTGGGGATATACATTATTATTGTCAACAAGGAAAAGCAATAATAGTGTCACCTCTGAGTTTATAAAAACGAAAATAAGAAAATATTAGGTCACATGTAAAAAAAACAAATACATAAAAAAATCAAATCATTTTTTTTCTCCTAAAAATCAACTATTAGTATTTTTTACTACTGTTTTTTGTCATCTCACTACTTCAGGCTTCTCCTTTCCACCTCTTTCTCCTTCCCAGCAGGGAATCCTGATCCACTCCACCATGGAAATCCATCCCAGGTCTTCCCGCTGCCATTTTTTAAAAACCACCTCTAGTTTAGAGGAGTGAAAAACAAACCAGCATTGGGGCAGCAGATGACCCGGCGCAGCAGCGAGGAGCACAGCAGTCCTCTCCCTGACAAATGAAAGGATGGGGGGCATCAGCCGCAGCTGAGTTCACCAACCCTGGATCAGGGAGTGTGCGGAGACAGCAGCTTTCTGCTCACTCTTGGGTGACTTTTTGCTGGATTTCTTCCCCTCTCCACTCCGCAGCAACATGCCATTTGCCAAAAGAGTCGTGGAGCCCCATTTACTGTGCAGGTATCAAAGCCCAAGCGAGGAGGAGGCTCTGCTTTTCGAGGATCTGGTGTCCATCAGTAATGTGGCTCTGTCCCGGACCCTGCGGCAGCTGTCGGACTTGGCCAAACATGCCTGCTCCATCTTCCAGGAGCTGGAAAACGACCTGGCGACCACCAACCAGCGGGTCAGGGGGCTGCAGGGGAAAATTACCCAACTCCAGCAGTGCTGCTCCGAGCTGGACCCTAAACAGGAGGCAGTGCGTGAGTACAGACCCAGCTCCACTCCGCGCGCGCGTCTCCTCCTTCCTGCGCGCGGCTCTCCTCAGTAGAGCCTGCGCATCATTTTTAACAACTCTTACACGTTTGAAACTCATTTATAACATAACTTCTGATAAAAATTCCCAGCTATATAAGGAGACTTATTTTAGATAAACACATACAGCTAAAGTAAAGTCACTGCGTAAAGATTGAGCAACTTTTTAAAGTCTGAGAAATTTGTTTTAGTTGCAGCAGCCTTTCTGGCAGAACCGCGCATGACGCGGACTCCAGCTCATGTCATCAGCTCCTTTAAACCAGTTATTAAGCTGCTGTTGCTCTTCCCATGGACGTCCTTCAGTGGTTCTGTTATTGTGACTTTATAACAAGCCTCTGTCCGCTAACATTGTAGCTGACGCACTTTGCTCCGTGCGGGAAGCGCTTCCACTGTTTTCCCTCTAACTTCATCAGAAGTTGGCCTCAATATAGATCTGACTCAGTCAGGATAGAGCTTTATTCTAGGCCCTATTTACGAACCTCATTCAGCATTCAAATAGGGATCTTATTGGGCATTCTCTTTATACTCAAAAGGATTTTTTCAGTTAAAAAAAAACTTTTAAGTTAAAATCATATCTAATTTTAATATTTTCACACGTAGTAACAAATATGCATCTCCATTTTGCCACTATAATTGTTTTAATCATTAATAAAGCTTATATTACTCAGTGTTCTGTCTCCAGCAGAACACTAAGCCTGGTTCTTCTGGAGGTTTCTTCCTGTTGAGAGGGAGTTTTTCCTCTCCACTGTCGCTACAAGTATGCTTAGTGTGAGGGATTGCATTTGAGTCAATGAGTCGATGCAATCAACTGGTTTTCCTTAGATAGAAAACTTTGAATCAATCTGACTGGATGATCTGGTTGAACTGTAAAGTGCCTTGAGATGACGTGTGTTGTGAATTGGCGCTATATAAATAAACTGAATTGAATGAAATTATTTATGCCATTAAAAGACACCCTCAGATTTGGAAATATTGAAACAAAATGTGAAGGTCAAAAGGTCACCCCTCTCTTTACACATCCTTACAAAATTTACACATATTTCCCATATTAGCACCACAAAGTTCCTGTCTTTTAATAAAAGTGAAAAAAATATTTGTTTCTCTATCTTATATTCTCCAGCAGTCATTTTTAGATTGCATTGATTTAGTGTATTAAACATGTAAATATAATAGCAATTAAATCATCTGTTTTAAAAGATGTGAGGCTTCATATCTTCAACTGTGTTTTGTGCAAAAGTCCAGCACTCTTTGGAGCCGTGGCCCTTTAATCGTCTTATATATTTGGCCATAAAAGTCTGATACCTGTAGAGGTATTTTTTTCTTTTATTATCTAAGTGACATTTAAAAAAAAGAAACCTGTTCACGGCTGTCCTGTTTCATATGTTGAAGTTTACTCGGCTGATTCGGCAGGAATTCATTACCCTGATAACACAGCATGCAGCCATCGCCTGGCTCTTTTCATCTCAGAGCCCCCTACTATAGGAAGATAGGGGGGTGATATTTATATAGGTGGGTTTGTGTGTGTGTGTCAGTTTAAACCTGATTAGGAGACCTGTCCAGCCCCGGAACAGTGTCCACAGCTTTGGACATACCCCTGTGGATTTTAACCCCCTTTACTTTAGGTTCAGCAAGTCCTCGCATGTTCCCCCAGACCCCTGCTTCCTGCGGTCTCTAAATGGGTAATTTTGCCTTGAGGTATTTATGTGTGGCATGGATAGCTTTCTACCGCAAACCCCCCCCCCCCCCCCCCTGAAAAGTAAAAAAAAAAAAAACCTGGCCCCTTTTAGAGGCAATCTAAACAGACTGCAGCATGTAGTCAGCAGAGATTCTTTATTTCATCTGCAAGTTTCTGGTTTTGTTTTGCTTGCATGCATAGTTGTTTTGTGATATGCCACTGCAAGCCACAGACTGCTAAAGTTTCTGTTCGGTCTTGCAGACTGTTTATGTCTGAATTGGAAGCTGTCAGTTGTTGTTTGCAAGTACTTTCCCTATGAGGAAGCTTGAACTATTTCTAGACGAGTATACATGATGGTCTCCTCCGGCTCTCCTGGTTTATGCAACATCAAGGTGTGAATGGTTTACAAACGCCTGAATGGAGACCCTCATTTTACTGTATGTGATAGTATCTCCTGTGCAGTGTTGTTTTTTTTGTTAACCCCTTTTGCTTTTAAAAGCCTAATTGCTGTAATTTGTGCTTTTCATAGTCATGGTGTCAGGCGTAATCTTTAACAACAGAAGCCCTTTTTTCGCATCTGAATGACAATCGGTGTAAATGGAGCAGTCCGAGGCCAGGAGGCTGCAGTAGGCGGGGGTGTATCCCCGAGATGCGCCTCATCCCCACAGGATGAGACGTAGAGGGATATAGAGCAGACGATCACAGTGTAGAAAGAGGCAGATGTCAAACCTGCTGTTTAAGTGTTGGAGGGACTGCTTGTTCCATAAACAACCTGCTGGTAACATGGAGTTAGTCTGGGAGGGCATCAGATAAACAGCGTTTGAGGGGAAGTTAAATATAGCTTTGAGCCATGTGGTGAAATCTAGGTAAGAAGGCATCTTTTTTTCTGTTAAAATCCAATGCAGATTGGTTTGGATTAAATATATTTGTGTGGATTACTCTGTTTCGTCTGTTCCATCGGATAGAGTGGCTTTTCAAAGTAAAAGCAAACTGTTTTTCTGGGTAGAATGAATGAAGAATATCTTTTAACTTCTCTGTGAAGTCTGGTCCTAGGTCTGGGATTTAACTAGGCCATTCTAACAAAAAGGGATGCTCTGATCTAAACCCTTCCAGCATATCTCTGTGTCTATGCTTCGGCTCATTGCGCTACTGGAAGACGAGCCTTTTCCCACCTAATAAAAACTTAAATTTCATCTGAATTTTTCTATGCATGTGATGCATTCATAGCGACCGCTGTGTCTTAGAAATTTCTTTCCCTTCATATTTTCCTGAAATGAGATATATTGTGTGCAAAGCTGAAATCTCCAGAGCTCCTCCTGGTATATCGAGGCCTTCTTGGATTAGTTTTCTCTTTGCCTGGCCTTTCACTTTAAGTACACACATTTTAGCAAGTTTGCAATTAAACCATAGTTTTTCTCTTCCCAATAATGGCTTATACAGTGCTCCTCTTCCTCTTCATCATAGCGCTTCTTCACTGATGTTCTCTAACAAACCTCTTAGAAAGGAACATTTGAATTTGTATGGAATAAACACTGTATTTTCTGGAAGTTTATCCACTGAGTTCTCCACGTACGTTGAATTTTTTTATTGTAACCTGTCAAAATATGAAGGATGAAGGAATATTCATAATTTTGCAAGATATAATACATAAAAAATGTGTTAGTGCTCAAGTAAATGTAGTCAAATGGTCACTTTTAATCATCTAAAGACAAAGTTTTTTCTTTGATCCATTCTCTCCAACAGTGAAACAGAAATAAACCAGGCGCCTGGCGAATATCCCTCTGCCAAATGTTTGGACAGGTCTCCCATGACACCCCATCAGTGTCTGCCCTCGACTTCCACCAGCTCTCTCCAGGCACACTGCTCCTCCTTGGAGTTTCTTGCTGGGTTTTAGGTTACCCTCATTCAGTTGGATAGCTGTAATCCCTGCAGCCATCCAGCTTCTCTCGTCCCACAGCACGTGGCTGGCACCTGGAACGTCTCCCTGGTTGCAGGAAAACAGTAGTCACATTACTTAAAGTTCAACTCAGCTGCAAACAGAGCAGCAGTAATGATTCCTCATCCATTCACCATGCTGCCTGTCTCTGCACAGCCTAACAGGAAAACGATGCAGTGTAAGCTTATGATAAGACATATCAGAGGTGAAATATAAACAGTTGTAAAAATCAGATTGAGATACTTTTAAACAGAAAATAACAACTATTTCTATCCCTGCAGTCTGGGTGAATATATTGCTTTCAAGAATCAACACTGTGATTTTATTAGAAAGTAAATGCCACTACATAGGCGATAGATTCACTTTTAAAGGAGCATTCTCGCATACATTGCAGAATTTTGGTTTTAAGTCTAACGTATTTAACTTTCAGCTTAGTTTGTCTAACTAAGAAAAGCAAAACAAAATGAACACTATGGGAAAGGCAGTTGTCCTGAAATCACCTGTAACTATGCTGAACTTTTCAGTCTACAGAGACATTCATGTAAGGCCTGCAGAAAGTTTCTCTCTTCTGCACTTGGAAAACCCTTCAGACATCCCCATGCACTGTATTCCACTAAATCATGTCATAAAAAATAGCTGAAACCCATTTATTAATGCACTACAGTTACCCTGTACCATCATTACACTTCCACTTGTGCAGCAGGACTTTCATGCAGATCTGTGAGATTCAGCGTCCTATAAATAGGCAGTAGCTGCCCTTTTTTTGCCGCTTTCCTCTCAGCAGAAAAGCTCCCTCTCTGGCTGACTCTGCCTTCTGCATCTGATTGACCCAGTCCGTCCATTACTGGGACTCTGATGTGCTAAGTGAGGCCGCATTGACAAGCCAATGCACACTTTATCCGAGGCCAATGTCAGTCAATGCTGGAATCATCTGAAAAGGGTTAATGTATGTTGTGGATGAGTGAAATGATTTAAATGGGAAGAGTTCTGTCATACGGAAGCAGAGAGCGGTCATACTCGACTTTTTTTTTTTCCTTTGCTTTTCTCGAGATAATGAAATAACTATCTCGTTATCACGGTGAAACCATTAATTGTTTTCTCGAGATAATAAGATAATAATCTCATTATCACGAGAAAACAGTGATTGATTTCTTGAGATATCGAGATGATTAACCTGTATGAGTAATGAACGAGGCTGGATCCATGCCTACGGTAACCATAGTGTGTAGTCGGGGTACCGCTTGTGGGCAAATAATAAGTTTTTTAGTTTCCTATTTCTTTTCTATCATTGTCATGTTGTGGTGGATAATTGGATTGCGTGGGTTACAGTAGAAACA